CAGCTAGGGAGAGAATTCACTAATAACAGCATACTATCTAACTGGACAATTTATGTATTTGCTACAAATAATCACAAAGCATTAATATTCATTAACAAATTTCTCAGAAAGAAAAAATATTTGATTCTAACAAGTTCTATCTCTCAAGTTAAGCCAGATTTCTGTTATCCATTGCTTAGATATTTGATTCACAAATGACAGTCGCAAGACTTCAAAAATTAGAAAAGTTACTCAGTCTTGTTTTTCTGAACTGCAATATGAGCATAACTACAACCACAATACTCACGCACCAGTAGATCACAGCTGTGGGGCTGCCAATGTGTCCATTTCTGAGAGCATTGGTCTAAAGTTTCTTATCTTACTTTATTCCTTGTTGACTCTAATCTATTTCTTTGTATGTACAACTCAGCATTAGTTCAAGTTCACCAAAAGACACTAGTGATGCACCCAAGGACAGGCCTCAGGCTCCAACACAAAATGAGCTCAAATGTATTTTGGGAGGACTTTTTTTGTCTCATATTGCTTTGTTTGGGCATTTTCTATTGGTCTTTTGCTTGTATATTATGGTTCTGATTTTGTGCTTTCATGGAGTGTGTGTGTGTGTGTGTGTGTGTGTGTGTGTGTGTGTGTGCATTACCTGTTCTTTGTTTCTCTTTTTTTCTTTCTTTGTTAGTTTGCTCATTTTCTTTTCTTTATTTTTTTTTTGGTGTGTCTTTTATATTTGCCTGTTTATTTTCTTAAGAGACATAGAGAAAAGGCATGGAGTTGTGTGGTGGTATTGTGTCCCCCAAAATATTGTGCATGCTAATAAACTTATCTGGGGTCAGAGAATAGAACAGCCACAATATTAAACATAGAGGTTAGGCAGTGGTAGCACACACCTTTAATCCCAGCATTCCAGAGGCAGAAATCCCTCTGGATCTCTGTGAGTTCAAGGTCACATTGGAAACAGCCAGGCATGGTGACTCATGCCTTTAATCCCAGAAAGTGAGCCTTTAATCCCAGGAAGTGATGGCAGAAAGCAAAAAGGTATATAAGGCATGAAGACCAGAAACTAGAAGCTTTTGGCTGGTTAAGCTTTTCTTGCTTTGAGCAGCACAGTTCAGCAGAGATCCATTTGGATGAGGACTCAGAAGCTTCCAGTCTGAGGAAACAGGACCAGCTGAGGAATTGGCAAGGTGAGGTTAGCTGTGGCTTGTTCTGCTTCTCTGATCTTCCAGCATTCACCCCAATAACTGGCCTCAGGTTTGATTTGATTAATAAGTATCTTTAAGATTCATGCTACAGAGTTGGATAGTAGGGAGGAGGGGAGAAAGAGGGAAGAGACGAGGGGAAGAACCATGATCAGAATATATTGTATAAAAAAACTTTTATTTTCCATAAAAAAAATGAAAACACACACACTCACGTCCTATAACAATTAGTGAAAAAAAAGGGGACATAAATTTGAAGGACAGTAGGGAGTGATATATGGGAGAGCTTGGAAGGAAGAAGGGGAAGAAAGATATGGGAGAAATGTAATAATTAAATTATTATCTCTAAAATTAAGATACCAATGATAATGAAGAAATAGAAACAAGGTAAAAATTACTAAAAGTGTTCATGAAACATCATAACCATTAATATTTGATGTTTTGGACTTTGATAGACGGCTCAGCATTTACGAGCACTGGCTGCTTTTCCAGAGGACCCAGGGTTGATTCCCCAAACCCACAAGGCAGCTCACAACTCCAGCTCTGTAACTCCAGTGCCAGAGGATATGATGACCTCTTCTGGCTTCTGCGAGCACTGCATGCACATGGTACACAGAAGCACATGTACACAGAACACACATACATTTAAAATAAAAATGAAACTTTTAAAATATATATATTTGATGTTTTATCTAGTTGAGAAAGCCCAGGAAGTTCACTAAACTCCTATCATTGGAGGGTACATTCCATACCTCCCAGTGGATGTCTGAAATTACATGGAGTAAAGATTATTTCTACTTTAAGTTTTGTCCTAGTCATTCTTACTCTACAACTTAGAAACCTCAACACATTTTTGTTCTTTTTTTTTTTCTCCCTTACTAAAGAAAACTTTTAACCTTTCTGTTAAGAGAATCACTTCTAGGCTTTCTTCAGGACCCATGTTCCAGTATCACTTCTCTTACACCATGAGGCCATTGATAAATACATAAAACGTGTTTGAATGCACGCATCTCAGTATCTCCATAAATGGCCTCGTAACCTCTGTACCACGGCTCTTGCTAGTCAGATATCAGCAGGCTGGAATGTCACCAAGGGTGAACCTCCTTCATAATCAGCAGCTTATAAAACCAGGAGCTAAAACCCCAGGGCTTTGACTACAAGTCAAAACAGGGAGCTCTGAATTGTCTCTCTGGCCCTGAGTAGGGATATGACATTTTAAACTACCGGGGGGAAAAAAGCACACTGTTATTATGTCACTGGAGGCTTTCTAAAGGTTTAGCATTATTCTCTCCCATAAGAATTAATTCAAACAAACCTGTCAATCCTCTGGCAGCAAGATGTCTTCCAGAAATTTAACAAATAGTATAGAACATATCTAAACATAATGGTCCCTCTGGCCATTGTCACATCTCACCCTTGAGAATATCTCATGTTCTTCCGCAATAACCCCCATCTGCATTTTATACTATGATCTGAGTGTCTCATCTAAGTGTACTTGGTGGAGACCACAAGGACCAGGGAGCTTAAGGGTGGTCAGAGCAACATGCTAATAACAGAGAATGAGGAGCACACACAGGGTGGAAACACAGAACAAAGATGAACCGGGTCCAGATGGTTGGCATGAGGTTTCATCATTCTCCACAGATGGCACACAGTTTAAACCTTGTGAACTGCTTATATCTATAATTTTCTGTTTAATATTTTCAGACCAGATGACGACAAATAATTGAAAGCACAGAAAGTGAGGCTGAGGATAAGGGCAGACGAATCAGCGGAGAACTGACAAGTAAGTCTATTAATACTAAGTGTTCACAACCTTAAGCAATGCTGGTGAAAATGGAAAATGATGTAAACAGTTTAGAAAGCAATTTAGAATTACTTTATACATATTCCCAAGCCTCAAAACTAACAATTCCCTCTACAGATATTTGCCATGAGTATATATAATGTTAAACAGGAAACATTTAAAGACTATTTATGGTGGTATTTTTCACAAGACAAAAAAAAATACAGGAAAACACCCCCAAAAGTCCAATAACTGGAGAATGGGTAAATATATTATTATATATTATTAGAATAATATATCAAACTGCCATAAAAACTATAAATTTTTGCTGTAATATTTCACACGCAGCAACTCAAGTACACTTTCGAGACAATGCTAGTAGGGGAAAAATCTAGTCACTGAAGTCTACTTTTACAGGAATGGTGTCATTTGTGAGATTCAAATCGCCTAGAGATACAGAAGAAAAAACATATTTGTCCACTGTGTATGGAATAAGTCATTAACAGAAAAGTTCTGGTTTCTTTTAAGCATCCAAAGGAATGCACTCACATTAATAGGTTGCATGCACAACTGACCAAAACCTGGTAAAAACAAAGGAATGACTTCAGATTTACAGGCACTCTTGTATCAAACCTGGCTTGAAACAACCCCAGTTCTAACAGATAATATAGCTGCCATACATAATAAGTAACTAGAAATAGAGGCGAGTACTCTTATTCTTTCTGACCTTAATTTATAGACATATTCTTAGTTGTCTTTGGTTGCTAAACATATATTGGGTTATTGTATATCGTTTTCTATATACTTCTAGCTTAGCATTAAAAGGCCAGCCAACATTGATCATGAAGTCTGACAAGCTTCGCACAGTAATCATGTATTCCAAACTCAGCCTTACATTTAAATGCTGGCTACATATGCAGGAGTTTTCAGCTTCAGGAGAAAACGTCTCTTCAAGAGAGAACGACTGAAAGCTACCAGAGGATACAAGTACTACCTGGTCTTTGTGTGACTGACAAAGCAATTCATCTTGTTTCATCCTTTGTGATATACAGATACAGGAAAAAAAAAAATCAAATCACTACAACGAAAACAAAAGCTCTTCAGTGTCTCAAACACATCTTCCAAATCAGTGTGTCTGACCTTTTCTTAAAACTTTAACCATCACAAGGGACCCAGTGGGGAGGGAGTCATGTGCTGGGGAGTAGTTAAAGGGCAGGAGAATTCACTGGTGTGAGAAGGGATTAGTGAGAGCTGGAGGAGAGGACAAGCCCCTCCCAGTGTGAGGGATCCAGCTGGGGATTTACTGTCTGGCAGAAAGCCACATTCAATTAACAGCTGGCATCAGGGGACAAGCAGACAACCAACACTGGCTCTGAAGGAAGTCAGCAGAGAAACCTTCCCGGAGTTGAAGGTACCAGTGAGCAGCTCTGTTGTGAGGTCAACTGTGGCCAAAACTCTAGTAGGATGAAGAAGATTTGCTTGCTAGAAACCTGCTCCCAATCCTTCTTTCAGATCCATGGTGAAATGCTACTATGGCAGTCACCTGCTAGTGGATGCTTTCAGTAAATGAGATCCAGGATAAGTCTTTTTAGAATAGATTCATCGTCTTTTTAATTTATGTGTATGCATGTGGGTATGTGCACATGAGTGCGGGTGCCCATAAAGGGCAGAGGGGAATGCTGGGAGCTGCAGTTACAAGAAATTGTGGGCCTGATGATGTGGGTGCAAGGCACTGAACTTAGTTCCTCTAAAGGAACAGTATGTGCTCTTAATCACTGAGCCATCTTCCCAGCCTGAGAATTGGATTCCTAGGACTAGAAGTTTTAAATAAGAAAACTCAAATGCCAGGAGTATGAATTCAGTGATCTAGGTGTTATGCTTGATATTCAAAAGTAAATTGTTTTTATTTATGTTTAGAAATGTTGCTTCACATAGAAGGATTCCATTTTGGAGTAGGTTGGGAAGAGTGCTTAGAAGAAGTTATGTAACTCGGTTTTGCTTTTTTTTTTTTCAGCTGGCTTTTGATCTGAGTACTTCAGTATCCTCCCTGCAAAGAGCAGCATACTAGATCTGTGTCCTGGACTCTTGCTTGTAGAAGAATGAAATCCTACAAAGTCCTTCCCCTGGCCTCTGTCTTCCTCTCCCTGGTGCTTTTTCATCAGGTCTGGACTCAGTTTCCGCGAGAGTGTGCCAATGTTGAGGCTCTGAGAAGTAGAATGTGTTGCCCAGACCTGTCCCCTTCCTCTGGACCTGGGACTGACCGCTGTGGCTCATCATCAGGAAGGGGAAGGTGTGAGGCTGTGACCGCAGACTCCCGACCCCACAGTCCCCATTATCCCTACGATGGCAGAGATGACCGAGAGGGCTGGCCTCTGAGGTTCTTCAACAGGACATGTCAGTGCAATGGTAATTTCTCAGGACACAACTGTGGGACCTGCCGTCCTGGGTGGAGAGGAGCTGCGTGCGACCAGAAAGTTCTCACAGGTGAGTGGAAAGATGGGGGAGGCAGTTTCACTGAATGAGATTCAAGGCTATACACAATACACAGAACGCTGAATCACTTAAGTCAGGAAACACCTACAAATCATAGAGCTCAACCATCTTTCCCCAGTTGAGCAAACTGAAGGATAGGAAGTTGGAGAAACTTGTCTGGTATAGAAGTTTGGGACTGAACCCCAAACTTTATTTTTTTTTTTTTTTTTTAAAGATTTATTTATTTATTATGTATACAGAAGAGGGCGCCAGATCTCATTACAGATGGTTGTGAGCCACCATGTGGTTGCTGGGAATTGAACTCAGGACCTCTGGAAGAGCAGTCAGTGCTCTTAACCTCTGAGCCATCTCTCCAGCCCCCAAACTTTATTTTTTAAGATTTATTTATTTTTTAGGATTGATTAATTGATTGATTTACAGTGTTCTGTCTGTATATATTCCTGAGTGACAGAAGAGGGCACCAGATCTCATTATAGATGGCTGTGAGCCATCATGTGGTTGCTGGGAATTGAACTCAGGACCTCTGGAAGAGCTGCCAGTACTCTTAACCTCTGAGCCATCTCTCCAGCCCTGAAACCCACACCTTTCAACTAATAGTTGTCTCCTTAGGTCTGGAGAGACGGCTCAGTGAGTGGTAAGAGGACTTGTTGCCTAAGCAAGAGAACCTGACTTCAGATTCCCAGCATCCACTTAAGAAACTGGGTGTAGCCACATGTGCCTGTAACCCCAGTACTAAGGGTGAGAGACAGGTGAATCTCTGGAGTTTTGAAACAACCACAGGTCTAGCCAAAAAGCGATGAACTCCTGTGAGAGACCCTGTCTCAGGAAAATGAGGTAGAGAGTGATAGTGGACACCTGAAACTCCGCTCTGGTCTTCACACACATGCATATGTCCCCCCCACCCCAACACACAGTATTTCCTTCAAAAATACTGAAGCAATCACCATATATTAGGAACTGGCTTTTTATCACTTAAGGTGTTTATGCTAATCTTTATACATTAGATTCATAAGGCCAAATTCATGGATCTAGAACTTTGGCAAGCATGGCATTCCCACTGAGATCTATCTAGCTCTAATAATACAGCCTCTACAAGCAGCGATGATGACCCATAATTCCTCGCTGTGGTGAGGGAACTCTTGCATTATAGATGAAGGAGCAGGTATGTGGAGTACTAAACAGTAATGGCACCAGCACCTGCTTGTTTTCCATGTTTCAGACAACGACTGAGGGTTTCACAGACTAGCTTTTGAGACTTCACTGTCTTCCAAGCCCTGGTCTAATTGTGTGTGTACGTGCGTGCGTGCGTGTGTGTGTGTGTGTGTGTGTGTGTGTGTGTGCATGTATGTGTGTGTGTGTACGTGCGTGTGTATGTGTGTGTGTATGTGTGTGTATGTGTCACATGCATGCATGTGTGTTCTCCTTAATGTTTGTGCCTTTGTAAAGCAGGAGTTCTTTTTATCCAACTATTGCATACATGAAAATTGAGCCTAAGAAAATGTGTCCAGAAGGACAAATATGGTATGTACTCACTCTTAAGTGGATTCTAGATATAAAGCAAAGAACAATCAGACTGCAGCCCATAGAACCAGGGAGGCTATATGAAAAGTGGGACCCTAGGATGACTGTGGCTTACAATAAGTCTTGGTTTTACTCAATCAATCAATCAATAAATAAATAAATAAATAAATAAACAAACAAAAAACAACAGCAAAAAAAGAAGAAGTTTTGTTAGCCAGGCAGTGGTGGCGCACGTCTTTAGTCCCAGCATTCAGGAGGCAGAGTCAGGTGGAACTCTTGGAGTTTGAGGCCAGCCTGGTCTACATAGCAAATTCAAGATAGCCATGGCTTTTTCAAAAAGAAGAAAGAAAAAGAAAGTAGAAAGCAGAAGGAGGAGGAAGTAGTTGTTGTTGCTGTTGTTATTAAATAATATATCCATCCTTTTTGTCTGCTCCCAAAATATGCACACACAAAAATTAAAAGTCCCCCCATCCAAAAAAGAAAGGAAGAAAATGTGTCAAAAGACAGAAAACTCTGTTTTAATCACTAGGCTGTGCTCATCTGCCTTGTTTTTATAAGATTTAGATAATAGAAAATCCTACTGGGTGGTGGTGACACATGCCTTTAATCCCAGCACTCAGGAAACAGAGGTAGGAAGATCTCTGAGTTTGACATAGCCTGATCTACAAAGCAAGTTCCAGGACAGGCAGGGCTACACAGAGAAATCCTATCTCAAAAAAAGTAGAAAAATTTTTTAAAATGTCAATAATGAACAGAAATAAATATGACAATGTTACAGACCCATAAACCCTCATGTAAGATTAAAGAAAACTTTTAGAAACCCAAGAGTAAATGTCATGGGGTATTCACCATAGAAGACTGCTTGGACATGGGTTTTAGAAAGTCTTTGTTAGCAAGCCAGCAACTACACTGAGTACTCAGAAACCCAGTGTAGCACTGAGCCTTTCTCAGGATGAACTTATATGCACAAAAAACGTGTTCTTGGTTGATATACTTCAGTTAACAAGAACAGTTAGCCAGAAGTAGAACTACATAAGCTAAAAAGGTCAGTACATGTTGGGACTTTCCCACAACTATTTGGACTTTGATGGATTAGGCCTTTGTTTTAGTGTTGGCAGGTGGTGCTACCTATGTGCTGAGTTCTACAGCCTTGTTGGCACTTCCATCATGGAGTCAGTTGTGCTAAGGTCTCAGGGCCTACTAAGGTCTGGGGCTCTGTTACAGTAAATTGCTGAGACAAAGAAGGAGAGGAAGAAAGATCAGTCTAAACAAAGATTTAATTAGAGATATTTTTAATAACATACAGATTGAGAATCTCTAATCAAAAATTCCAAAATTCCCCCAAACTCTGAAAGTTTTCAAGCCCAACATGGTATCACAAATGGAAAGCCACACACATTAGTCTTTGTTTTAAACACAAAATAATGAAACTGTGGTTAAAATTGTCTTCAGGCTATGTGTATAACAGAGTGTATAAGAAACAAATGAATTTTACATTTAGGTTCGGATCCAACCCCCAAAATATAATGTATAAGAAAATACTTCAAAATTTGTAAACTCCAAAACATATCCGGTCCCAATCATGTTGGAAATGATACTTAACCAGTTAAATAACTTATAAAAGATTTGAACGGGTACACATATGGCCATTAATGGTTACAGGAGGCATAGCATGTAGTAATATGATTGTGCTAATTTTCACATCTTAATCTTTTCATCCTTACAGTCAGGAGAAATCTTCTTGACTTAAGTACAGAAGAAAAGAGTCACTTTGTCAGAGCCTTGGATATGGCAAAGCGCACAACTCACCCTCAATTTGTTATTGCCACAAGGAGGTCAGAAGCCATACTGGGACCAGATGGCAACACACCACAATTCGAGAACATTTCCATTTACAACTACTTTGTTTGGACACACTATTATTCAGTAAAAAAAACCTTCCTTGGAGTGGGGCAGGAAAGCTTTGGTGATGTGGATTTCTCTCATGAAGGACCGGCTTTTCTCACGTGGCACAGATACCATCTGCTGCAGCTGGAGAGAGACATGCAGGTATGTTCTATCTTCGTTTTGAGGTCCCTGTTGTAAATCACTGTGATTCACTTTGTACTGAATGACAACAATGAGCCGTGACAAAGCAATCACATTATCAGGGTACTTGTGACTTTCAGGTAAGATTCTTCCCACACTGATTATTCACTAATGCATTAACCCTGATCTTTTGTGCAGTAAAATAAAAGTAATGTTAATGATGAGAAAAACAATGGAGACCTGGTTTGGGCAAGAATTAAAAGTTTCGAATTTTCTACAGCTTGGTAACCGGAACAAAATGATGAAGGTAACAAAGGAAATCTCAGTTTTCTGGGCTTCTTCCTGAACTGTGGAATGTAGGCAGGCGCCACCTCCTGGGGAGTGGAGGACCTGCATGTCTCACTCTTCCATCCATAGGTATCTCTCCTCAAAACAGCTGATGGTTCTAGAGACTAAATACTTTCCTGTTCACTGAACTATATTTTTCCATGGCCCCTACCACTTTAAGGCTTAGAGAAAAGCCCCACACAAAAGCATCACATAACTGTAAAAAATGATGGATGTGTTCATTTTCTTAGAGGCAGGACTCATTCACTCTATATGTGTACACACACACACACACACACACACACACACATATATATATATATATCGTGTTTATATGTGTGTATCTACATTCATATATACATTCAAATATATCAAAACATCATTTTACATAACTTTAATATATATTGTTTCTAAAAGGATCTCAAAATGACATATCTTTAGACATGAATTTTCATTTGAAAACTAGCTTTTTGAAGGGGAACATAAAGTAGACTTCAACTGGAGCTCAATAAGGCTTTTATTTTTAAGCAGATGAACTCAAAACACACTAACATATCTAGTATCATAAATATCTTATTGTTGCCTTTTCACTAACAGAACTACTTTTTGAGAAAAATATTGTCATTCAGAAAGTGAACAGTTTAGAGATTGTGAGTTTAGCTCAACGATAGAGCACTTGCCTAGCAAGCACAATGCTCTATGAGCAGTCCCCAGCCCAAATAAAATTGTTTATTATTGGATCTCAATTATTAAGTCTGTAAACTAAGCTCGTTTCCTGTACGAAACAACAGTCATGTATCTCTATCCCAAAGTTAAAGTCTTAAAATTATCTTGAAAAAAAAAAATCTGTCCAAACTTATTTGTTGATTTACTGGGCACTGTGTTAGCCTTTTGAGGGAAAACAACTGTTAGAAGATAGAATTGATGCACTGCAATACAGAGTGATCGTTGACAGGAATCTGTTCATACACACTTTGAAGGTAATTAAATGGGTCCATCTAGTCCTCTCAGGATCATATTTTAAAGCTCTGATTACAAGAAAGACATGTGACAGATTGTGCGTACATAACTCTGTCATCTGTAACTAACTGGAGATCTTCATTCCCTCAAGGCATTTCCCAATGACACATTAGAATTTGAAAAGGCGAGTAGGGAGTGTCTCAAGCCTTCATTCTGCTGTGTAACTTCCACCCTGGTGACTTACGTTTTCTAGCACAAGGCATCACCATGTTCCAGACTACCTGTGACACACAACACCATAGGAATGTGCTCTGGCTCCCAAATGTCAGTTGTCCAGCTACACTTAGCTTGATTCATAATGAGCCCCTGGAAGTTGTCCCTAACTTTTGGGAAGCGCAATGACAGTTTTTGCATGACTAATACAAACCCATAGTGATCAAATAAGTAGGGATGCCTTAAAAAGCCTCTGATCTCTAAAACACCCAAGAATAAGGAGATGTAGACCAGAAGGGAGCTACATTAAAGGAGCAAAAGTATACCCGGGGCTTGAAAGACACAGAAGGCAAAAAGCAGCTCTCCACTAACTCTCACCCTCTGAAAGCAATTCCCCAAAGGCCAAAAGAAAGTGAATGAAGGAAGCAGTGTTTTAAGAAATTCGGTAAAATAAGCATGTGTCCTTGGTCTCAAGTATTTTCAAAAAGTGTGAGATAGTTTCTAAGTGGAAACTAGGTCACTGGTCCTAAGAACAATAGGCACAGAATTCATCCTGCTTCTGTTTAGCATTTTGTCTGTGAGCTTCAGGCAGATGCCTGTCTTCCTGGGTCAGCTTTGCAGCATAGGTCTCTAAACAAAATTCTTTTTGTCCTTTGCAAATAGAGTCTGTGTGAGACAAAGCAAACCAAAATCTACCTAACTACAGTCATTCAGGCCACATTAAAAACAAAACCCCAAACTTACTGTTCCACAAATCATTTCAAAGCTGAGGTCACATGCTGCTAAGAGTTGGTGGTACTTCCATTAAAAATAGGAAATTAAGCAGGGCGGGGGAATTAAGCAGCACTCGGGAAGCAGATATCTGTGAGTTCGAGGCCAGCTTGGTCTACAAAGTCCATGACAGCCAGAGCTGTTACACAGAGAAACCCTGTCTCTGGAGGGAAAAAAAAAATACCTAAAAATAATACCTCAACACATAGAGAGAAAATAATACCTTAACACATAGAGCTAACAGAAAAAAGACACCGGAGTCAAGCAAGCCAAGAGACAGGACGTAAGTAGAAGAAGTGACCACTAACTGATTTCTGTGATTTAGGATATGCTGCAAGAGCCTTCTTTCTCCCTTCCTTACTGGAATTTTGCAACCGGGAAAAACGTCTGTGATATTTGCACCGATGACTTGATGGGATCCAGGAGCAACTTCGATTCTACGCTTATAAGCCCCAACTCGGTCTTTTCTCAATGGAGAGTGGTCTGCGAGTCCTTAGAAGATTACGACACCCTGGGAACAGTTTGTAACAGTAAGACCCAAAATGACAGCTACTGTTCACAGTTCTTTATTAGATGAAGAGATTGTGCTGCCTTTCTTCAGAATGAAATCTGCTACCATTGCAGAGGCACATTGAGCCCCTAGGAGACTCAAGGCAGTCTACAAGGTGCTCCTGGGAAATACAAAGTACCTGTGATTGTTACTATTTTTTTTTCTTTTAGCAATTTGATCAGTACATCGCTAACTTTATTTTCAAAAATCCTAGAGTCTATTAATCCTCTTACTACACTAAGCACTGCTTGGCAGTCATGTGCCTTGGGGTGGAATCTTACTGAAAATGTCCCCCAGGAATATCTGAAATGTGCAAAAATTGGTGGAAGTACTCTGGGAGCAGAACAAGAAGGAGGGGAGCAAAAACGGGAAAATTCCATGTTTGTTCAGAGAACTAAAACCCAAAAGGGATGGATCCCTTTCCTAGAAAAGGAAGATGTGATAACAGCAACGGCTGCCGAGTCACGGCTCTCAGCTCTCCTAAAGAGAATAGACACAGGTCCGGACATTGTGCCTCTGCCGCAGAACATTTCTGCTATGCACTGGTCTGTTCATGAGCTTCCTGCTTTCCTCCACGAAACACAGTTACCCTCCCTGTGCTACTAACACAGTCTTTTTGTTTGTTTGTTTTTTGAGACAGGGTTTCTCTGTGTAGTTTTGGTGCCTGTCCTGGATCTCACTCTGTAGACCAGGCTGGCCTCGAATTCACAGAGATCTGCCTGGCTCTGCCTCCCAAGTGCTGGGGTTAAAGGCGTGTGCCACCACCGCCCGGCTACTAACACAGTCTTAATTGTTGGTGTTCTCTATTATTTCTTGTGTTTTTTTCTGCTTCAGGTATTTCTGGATATTTTAAATATTTGATTTTCCATATAAAAATTAGAGTTGTACCTTATTATTATGTTTGTGGTCTATCACTCTGCTTGTATTTTATGTATTAATTTTTGTATTGCTTTAGAAGCCTAAGAAGAGAATAGTTTAAATATATCCAAGGAACTAAGTACATTTTTTTTCACCATTAGAAAGGTAGTTATTTTTGTACTACTGTAAGAAATGTGATAATACATGAAAGTTTCCTTTAGCAGTCTAACACCTGAGCAATTGGGTCCACCTTGTGACAGAAAATGAAACTGAAGGTCAGAGGATCTTCATATACTAACACATTCATCTTTTTTACCAGGCTGTTATGTTTAGGGCTGAGAGTTCTTAGATATTTTCCTGCCATGCTGATACTTAGACATAATCGTGGTGTGTGTGTGTGTGTGTGTGTGTGTGTGTGTGTGTGTGTGTGTTTATGTTCATGCGTGTGCATATACACATGTGTATACATATGTGTATGCCATAGGACACCTTCAATTGTCGTTGATTTAGCTCTGTCTAACCTATTTTCTTTTAGTTTTGAGACAAGTGTCTCACTGTGTAGCTCTGGCTGTCCTGCAACTTACTATGTAGCCTAGGCTGGCCTCTGACTCATAGGCATCCAACTGCCAGACTGTTGCTGTCTCTCAAGCGCTGGGATTAAAGCCAGGCTCCAGGCTCCATCTGGCTTTGGGGTGGGGGAGCAAGGTTTCTTACTGCCCAGAATTCATCAAGGGCTCACTACCAAGCCTGGGACTCTACCTGTCTCTGCCTTTTCAATGCTAATATTGTAAGTGTGCCCTAACGTACTTCATTTTTTTTCCTGTGGGTTCTTGGGTCAAACTCGGGTCTCAAGCACTTGACTTTTATATGCTATCTTCCCAATCTAGAAAGAAATATTCTTTAAAAGTCAATGAAAATATAACATAGGAGGAAAAAAATAAAAGTGAAAGTATTTCATTTTGTCATAGTTTTTCCTATCATTCAATTTAACAAGCCTCACAACTTTGGGAAAAGTTGAAGAGTATTTATTCTGGGTTAAACAAATTTTAAGATTGTCCACTGTGACAATTCAAGATGTAAAAAGCAAACATCATATTTATTGAACATGGTAGAGAAGGCTGGCACGATGGTTCTGCAGGTAAAAACTCACATTGCCAAGACTGACGACCTGAATCCAATTCCTAGGACTCACACGGTGGTCCTGGGACTGTGCACACATAGACACACACACACACACACACACACACACACACACACACACACACACACACACTAAACTTTAAAAATCAAACATAGTAAAGAATAAAGGATGAGTTTGTATCAATCACAGCGTATGTCTCATACAGTATGAGATTCTTACTATATGTCTTCTTCAATTCTCATGGAAATTATTTCTTTTATCCTGCTTCTGTCTGAGAAGATTTTATTCATTTCTATAGATTCATTGACATCTTCTTCAGGAGACTGGTGCATACATGTCCTTGGATTAACCTTTCCTTGATCTAGGGATTCCAGACTTATATTGTTATTTATTTGTTTGACTAAATTTAATGGGTGGGAAAAGTGAGTTAGTGACACCTGACAACCTTTCAGCCCTCCTAATGCATCTGTGAGTCATCATATGAAAAACACTGCTTCTTTCTTCACAGGATTTCTTAAAGCCATTTTTCCCTCACACATTCTGGACTTCTCATTCATTCCAATGTGAAAATTTTACAGGACTGTAAGTCATAGGACATTGGTGGCTGAATTGGCAGAAGTTGTCCATGTGCAAACTAAATTTAAAAAACACTGGGGTAAAATTAAAATGGCTCCACTAGTTTCTTTTACTACCCAAAGTCTCAACCATGAAACTCCATCAAATGAACTAGGATGCGGTTGCTTGCAACCAAAGTGGACAGAACTTTCAAACTTCATGGGATTTATTGATAATTTCCCCAAACAGTAATCCCCAAAATACTAGCTAAAAGTCAGACTTTAGATATAGTAATGCCTGAAGGTTTTTTGAGCATAGTCTATACCCCCAAAATGTACATGGATACTGCAATCCTAATACAGGTCAGTTTTATCGCTATGGTGTGTAATGGTTGTTATGCTAATGAAGCAGGTAGGAGCATTGTGCCTAGGATTCAACATAGGACATTTGTGAATGAAGATGAAAACAAGCTGAAGTTGCAGTGCTGCCCCTCACAAACCAATCAATTATTTGCCTTGTCCCTGGGGGGCACTTAGGAGTCTATCAATCAATCACCATGGTATCCTCACGAAAAGTGCTCTTAACCATTCTTACCCTGCCCCACTCACGTAAGGCTCCAATTTTCCTCCACTTCCCAAAGAATTTAATATAACTTTCTGAACTTGTACTTGATTTCTTCACAACGTGGCTCTGGTCTGGCTTCCCATCATCCCTACAGTCTGCTCTGCTCCTTGCAAGCTCTTCACCAAAGAGATCTCTTTTAGCAGCCATAGGAAAGTGTGCACCAACTCCTTGTCACTCTTAGGAAACACCAGGCACTGTGTGCCAGGAATGATGAGAGAGTTCATATACTCCAGAGACAAAAAGGAGGAAGCTTATGGCTTTTTGCTAATGTTCCTCTCTAGACTACTCACCTTGCAAAATTTCTCTGACTTTACTTAAAGAAATTCTTCCTAGTCATTCAGAGTTCCTTGTAAATCTATTCTTTATTATTCTCTCTCTCTCTCTCTCTCTCTCTCTCTCTCTCTCTCTCTCTCTCTCTCTCTTCCTCCCTCACTCCCTCCCTCCCTCTCTTTACCTTTCTTCCCTCCCTTAAGGCATCTATATTTCCCTTCAAAAGGTTTAATGATGGCATTAATTGATTCAAACAAACAAACAAAAAAGATGGAAAACATTTATTGATTGAAATAAGCACAATATTTCAAGGAGATTTGGGGTATTTTTTTCTTGTTTCTCTGAAGACTGGTAATAGATGGAATTTGGGTATGATTTTTCATATATATGTGAAATATATGTTTTAGGGTTTTTGTTTGCATTTGTTTTTGTTTGTTTGGAGATTTAGGGCTTTTCTGTTGTTTTTTGGTTTGGTTTTGGGGAGGAGGTTCTTTTTCTGTTTGTCTTTTTTTTTGTTTTGTTTTGAGACATGTTTTTTTAATGTAGCCTTGGTTGTCCCAGAACTAGCTTTATAGACTAGGCTGGCCTGGAACTTAGAGATCCACTTGCCTCTGTCCCCCAAGTGCTGGGATTAAAGGCGTGTGCCACCACTGCCTAGCTTATATTTTAGTTTTTAATTTAGTTTTATAAGGTTATTTAAAAAAATTCAATTTCTTATATTCTTACATTCTTTCAACAAAGCTTATTGTCATTTAGTAGCACTCAGACCCATGTCTGTCAACGTGATTATTGTTTCCTTCCAGTGTCTTGGAACATCAGGCTATCTCAATTCACAGAAGTAGGACAACGTAATTTAGATGTTTTTCACTATAAGCATGTCTTTTCATATTTCTTTCATGAGGATCTAATTTTGGGGGTTTTCACTGTATACAAGAGAGCAGTGCTCAGACCTGTAGCCATTCTTTAACTGTGTGCATGCCTTTCCTCCCTAGGCACTGAGGGTGGGCCCATCAGGAGAAATCCAGCTGGAAATGTGGGGAGACCAGCAGTGCAGCGGCTTCCTGCGCCACAGGATGTCATTCGGTGCTTGGAGGTCGGTGTGTTTGACACACCGCCTTTTTATTCCAATTCTACAAACAGTTTTCGAAACACAGTGGAAGGCAAGTAAACAAACAAAACCAAAACCAAGACAATTGGCGCTTTGAATTAATCTAGTTGGGTGAGTGGAGTGCCCCAAATTGGTTAGTTTTTAAAAAGATTTTGAATGCCATATTGATCACATGGGTTTATATGAACTGGCTGTTGATTTTGTCACAATTTTGGATTCAAAAAATAAGGGGAGTATCAAACTCTATTTGATTACCAGAGATATATTTGATTATCAGAGGAAAAAGTCTTGGGGGACTATTGTTTCAAACCTCCTAAATTTCTCCAGTCTCTTAAACCTAGTGCCTGGCACCTTTCAGACTTCATGTGTAATAACATCATACTGTAGAACTACAGGGGACTTTTGTAATCATAAAATAGTATCTTTTAAAAAAGTAAGATTAACAATTATTTTATGTTCCAATTACCTGACAGTCTGTAAGATCTGGTTTGGGCAGTTTTATTTAAGTTGAAACACTTTGTAACAAATTGTGAAGGTCTATAAACAATTAAATAAATGTCTACTGAGTTTTAGCTTGATTTTCCTCATTTCACAGCAATAAAAGTATTTTGAAGTTGAAGTAGTGCAGTGACTTTCCTGAGATAGCAAACATCAATATATTCAGACTTCTAAAGGAATATAATTACGTCTAACTTAATTTTAAATTTGTTACTATTGAAATTCCCCTGAGTATCAGCATCACAAGTCAAGTGCACCAACCTGCTTCCAATAGGAATGATTCTCTCCTATAATCAGAGATATGTAAGATATAAATCCAATCACTAATTTTAATTCTACTTCCTTTTACTATCAAAATTGTATATTCTCCTTATTTTCATTTAAATAATACTAACTCACTAACAGAGTTGATTCAATATTTACTATGATATTTACTGCATATAGGTACTAAAATCTGGTATTTATAAGGCTAAAGTACTGATTTTTTTAAAGCAATGTGCTATGTTCCTTGAGTCATAATAAAGTAGGAAAATGAATGAATGAGTGAGCGAGTGAACATATACACTTGGTAGTTCAGCCCAATCAGACGCGCTTAACTCGATCACACATCACAAGCCCTCCGACTGCTTTCTGACCTATTTGGCACTTGTCGTCATATGTTTAATATGCAGAGGGACTATAAAAATTCTCTAACTATTTTGAGAGCAATCTTTCCAGATGTCTAAAACTGTAGAGAAAAAGAGAGAAAGTGGGGACATTTTAGCATCCCCACAAAATTAATTTTCTAAAAATAAATACGCTGGCAGTGATTCAAAGGGAGGAAGAGAGGAAAGTTTCCAGGACAGTGACAGCAGTATTCCCAGTGGTGGAAGCAGTAGCTGGGGGATTTCCACTGTCTCTGTTTCCATGCGGAACAATCTGTGCCTTGTCAAAATTCAGCATTCATCCATTTTGACTGTTATCTTCTGCAGGTTGTTAGTGTTAACCTAGAAGCTACATTTGGAAAGCCACACTACCAGCTCAGAACTAACCTAGTTCTGAGTATAGCAAGCAAATGTCATCAGCCATTACTACAGAGAGACAACACTATTATACTGAGGCAGTATTTAGCCTGGCGAGCTTTGAAAAATAGTTTCCTAATATAATCCCTGCTGTTGACTTGCAATGTTCTCTACTATTTCCATCCTTACTTTTAAATGCAGGTTACAGTGATCCCACGGGGAAATATGACCCTGCTGTTCGAAGCCTTCACAACCTGGCCCACCTTTTCCTGAATGGAACAGGAGGACAAACTCATCTGTCTCCCAACGATCCGATTTTCATCCTCCTGCATACTTTCACTGATGCAGTCTTTGACGAATGGCTAAGGAGGTACAGCCCTGGTGAGATGCTTTCATATGATTTTGCGGGCTTTGCAAAGGGATTATCCTGATGCTGTGGTTATCGATTTAAACTAGCACTTGACAACCGTAAAATACCCTCCAAAATAAAGATGCAGCAGCTCTCCCATCCAGCCACTGCCAAATACTCAAAACCACTATGAATACTACAGAAGTCTCTCAGTACAGTTACCGTTAAGATGTCACTACAGGCATTTTTGTCGTGAAAAGATGACTCCCGTGTGTTCCAAGTTTTTCTTACTCATATTTTCCAACAAACCCTCTCATTGCTTTTTAATATAAATGAAGGAATGTTACAGATCTTTTCTTGGATTCCACAAAAGACTGAACATGCCATGTCTATAATCTGCAGTTCTGAGTTGTATTACTTTATGGCCTCACAGAAATGGAAATTTGCTCAACTTGAAAAGTTACAAGTTTTTATGTCATGCCATAGGAGATCTCTTTTAAGTTCATTTCAATGCATTCTTTAAAATATTATTTTAGAGACCTCATTTACTGCACTCCTACTCAGCCAAGAGAAGTATGTTGCTTTTCAAAACCATGAAAGTACTTCCACTGGTTTAAACATCATAAATTTTTATACTTTGGAAATGTTCTGAGTTTTAGCTGCTGTGCTTTTATCATGCACCCACAGTATTGAAGATTAGCTCTCTATTGCTTTTATCTATCCAGTAAGGCCCTCACACATCTTTGTGTGTAACAGAAACCTCTATTGCAACCTTTCCCAGACCACTAATCTATGTGTTGATTAAAATATGTTATTGTGTCAGAATCATTTAAGAAACCAGTAATTTGCCAGGGATGGTAGTGGCTATAATTCCAGTACTCAGAAGTTTGAAGGAGAGGATCTAGAGTTTAATGCCAGCCTGCGCTATAAAGGGAGGTGTAGTCTCAAAAAAGAAAAAACAGAAAGGCAATTCATGCATAAATTCTTGCTCAATTGTCAATTTGTTATGAATTCAATAATTGGTATCCTGCTTCATATTTCATATGTATTTAAATGCATAACAGCAACAGATAATGGATTACTTATACAGTGTTAGTTTCTGTCTTAGTCACTGTTCTATTGCTATAAAGAGACACCATGACCCAGACAACACTTATAAAAGAAAACATTTAATTGGGTGCTTACTTAGTAGTTTCAGAATGTTAGTCCATTATCATCATGGTGGGAAGCAGACAAGCATGATGCTGGAGCAGTAGCTGAGAGCTTACATCTATCCATAGGCAGCAGGCAGAGAGAGAAAGACATTGAACTTGGAGTGGGCTTTTGAAACCTCAAAGCCTGCCCCCAGTGACACACCTCCTCTAATAAAGTCCCACCTACTCCAAAAAGACCACACCTCCTAGTCCTCCTAATCCTTCTCATACAGATCTACTCCCTGGTGACTAAGCATTTAAATGTATGGGCCTGTTCTCATTCTCATTCAAACCACCATAATTTCTTTAAAATAAAATAAGAAATTAATTTTTTATGATTCAATCTGGGTACAGTAAACTACATTTTTCCACTTCCCCAACTTTGAAATCATACTCCCCACTCCTTAATCCATACCTTTACTTCAGGCACTTGCTTTTTACCAATCCCTCCAGTGTTCAACTTAATAGTTGTAAGAACAAGATTGTTCTGTTTACAGTAATGGCTATCACTTTGGGTGTGTTTGATTAGATTATTTTTATTATAACACTATATAAACTGGAGTTGATAGGTTAGGAATTAACAAAACCAGCTCTTATTAAGTATAGACTTTTGAGAACTAGCCAAAAATATACAAGTAATATATAGGCAGTCATTCCCAGTGCTGTGGGTGTTAGACTTCTCAAAGGGAATGGAAATACTCTCTTGTTATAGTTTTCTAGAAACCATGAAAATGTGTACTCTTTTGCCTTTCAGATTCTGGTTGAAAAAATAATTATTGCTCATTCATACAAATTTCTTAAAGACTCTCCAAGTCTAATCTAAAGGTTGTTGATGAACCAGGAAGTTGTGTTTTCTTATTTCCCCCACCTCCTCTGCTTGAGCTCTGTGCAGTTTAAGGTTTCTCAGCTACTAGGCTCTCAGTGGGTAGAGAAAGGCCATAAATAAACAATAGTCAGCCTGTGACACTGTTCTGATAAAATATAGTCTTAAATTATAGAAAAAGTCAATGCTGAAAATTTGCATAAAAATGAAAACTGACCAACCAGACACCTTCTCAAATATCTCATTTATTTCTAAATGTCCATTGGGAAAGGATGTCATGAAGTAATAAAAGCAGCAAAAGTAAGAATTAGGGAAGAATCTCTAAACAATTCCATAAAGCTGAAAACAGTCCAGGAGCAGAAAGGATGGGGTTATTTTTCTGAATTCTGTCAAAGGTTTTAAACATATTGAAGATTCTTCAGAAATCAGAATTGTACAATTATAAAAACCAGAAGTCATAGTAACAACCTTAAGAAAGCTAAACCCGGTTGTTGTCTTTCAATATGAGGCTGCAGAATCCTATTGCTGAACACAAAACAAACAAACAAACAAACAAACAAAAACAGTACATCCAAATGCTAGCAACAATTATGTCGATTTTTATTTACTAATTTTGTGGGTTTGTTGGTTTATTTGTTTGTTTTGAGACAGAGTTTCACTATGTAGGCCTGCCTCACCTGAAACTATCTATGTAGCCAGAATGGCCTCAAACTCACAAAGACCTGTCTGTCTCTGTCTCTTACCACTACTATTATAAATCTGAGTAACATATAATTCAATATCCCTCTTTCATTACTTTAGAATGACGTGTTGTTTCACCATAGTAGCCCAGAGCTCCATGATTTTTTTTTTCAGAAAAAGCAGTTTGTACATTTCCCAAAATGATTGCTACTTCTTCAGCTAGGAAAGAAATGAAGCAATCATAAATCCTTTCACAAACATTAATTGATCACCTAATGTTTCTTGGACAGCATTCTAGGTACCAGAAGTTGAATGCAGAACTTAGTAGTTTCTTTCCAGAATTTTCACACCTGTTAGTAGAAAATAGAATAGCCAAATATAAATAAATACAGTATAATAGAAATACAGTATAGTAGGAAGTGGAAAGTTTTTGTAAGTAGACAAAAATCAGAAAATGAGATTGAGAATGCAGTGCAGGCAAATAGAAAAAGATCCTCCCAAAACAAAGGAACAGGAAGGAACCTGATAAGCTGGAGCAGATGCACATTGAGAAGAGGAGGTGGAGGGATTGGGGTCTGCAGGAAAATGAGAGTACAAGGTCACTGAGAAATGGGGATCATTAGAAGGATCTTGCTGAGGGAAATTACTGGTGATCCAGTTGTGGCTCTTGCTTGTGTTGTGATTCCTTTGCCCATTTTAGTGAACTGTATCACATAGCTGAAGACAAACTGAACTGAGAGTAATCAGTCAGGATTCAATAGACAGGTGAAACGGAGAGTTTAAAATTGTAGCTGGGTTACAAGCCTCACCATGTAACTTCCCCAGGTTACTAATACTAAAATATATATATATGGTCAAGGACAATCATCTCTCAAGTTTGAATTACAGACCATGATAGAGAACAGGCAGGTCTGGCTTTTCATTGACTGAAAAATATGTTCTGTGGATTTATTAAATTAAATTAGCTTGTGTAGTTTAAAAACAGAATAGCTGGTGAGAATCTTTTTTTTTTTTTTTTTTTTTTTTTTTTTTTTGGTTTTTCGAGACAGGGTTTCTCTGTGTAGCTTTGGAGCCTGTCCTGGAACTCACTCTGTAGCCCAGGCTGGCTTTGAACTCACAGAGATCCGCCTGCCTCTGCCTCCTGAGCGCTGGGATTAAAGGCGTGCGCCACCACCACCCGGCCTGGTGAGAATCTTATACAGTATTGTCACTCAACTCCTGTGACTTTAAAGGTTCTATCAAGACGAGTGTGGATGCCACACTCACCCTGTTCGGCAGTGAGACTTGTCTTGTGCCTGTATTTGCTATAAACTTTGAAAACACTTTTCACATACACTTGCACGTTAGCCACCTTCAGAGCATAACAACTACTCTGATGTCAACTTTCTGTCTGCTGACAAGCTGCCTTTGGAATATTTTAGATATTTCTACCTTCCCATTGGAAAATGCTCCTATTGGACATAACAGGCAATATAACATGGTACCATTCTGGCCTCCAGTTACCAACACAGAGATGTTTGTTACTGCACCAGACAACCTGGGATATGCTTATGAAGTTCAATGGCCAGGTCAGTGTTGTCAATGTATTTTTACTGTGGTGTTCTCCAAAAGAAAATCGGTCATCTTAAAAGAAAGGTCCTCACAGTGTGCTGAGGCTGGTGTGTTCTATTGGATATGAAGTTTTCCCATAGATTCTTGTTCGGAAATAAAAAGTAGGAAATTATCATTTATTGGGTACTCACTCTGACCAGTATTGAGATAATTTAACAACACTCCATCTTATTTAATCTTCAAAATCTTATTTAATCTTCATAATAGAGGCAAGTATTTTATTTCTCATTTTGCAGATAAAGAAACTCAAACTTATAAATTCATTCTAACACTAGAGAGGCTATGTTCCCAGCAAGGAAGAAATGAATTTTCAACTTAGACCCCTGTGATGTCACCAATTACTCATGAGACCATGCCACTTCCATTTATTTATAAATGAAGATGGAGTAAGATATTCAAAGCTGCTTTTTTTTTTTATATTTTAAAATTCAAGACTTTCAATTGTAAATTTTCCCACAACAAAAGTACCAAGACATAGTGAGAGATCACAGAACTTGGGACTGATTAAAACTGACTCCCAAACCCAGAAATTCTCCTACAGCCCATGGACCCTGGGCAGGGTCTCAATTCTTTGAGCCATCAGGTCTTTAGCTTTGGAATGGCAACAACATCGATCTCAAAATGACTCATTCACAAAAAGAATTAAGACGTACCTTCAAGATGGCAGGTGCTAAGTAATAGGGCCAATAAAAACTAAATATGAGGGTCTCTCCTAGAGTGCCTTGAACAGTGCCTAAATGTGAGCTGTCCAGTTTGGGTGATAATTATTTCAATGTTTATCTGACTCTCATCTTGTTTTCCCAATAGGTCAGGAGTTCACTATATCTGAAATCATTACCATTGCTGTAGTGGCTGTGCTGTTACTTGTGGCTGTCATTTTTGTGGGAGCTTCTTGTCTGATCCGTTCTAGAAGCACCAGGAATGAAGCCAGTCAGCCTCTTCTCACGGATCACTACCAACGCTATGCTGAGGAATATGAGGAGCTCCCAAATCCTAATCAGTCCATGGTCTGACATGGCCTGTCCTCTAATGCAGGAGGGTGGAAACGACCTGTTTGAAACACCGTTATCACCCATATTCCCTTTTGCCTCCTTCCTTTCTTACATAGACGTGTGTTGGAATTAAAACAATATTAATGCTGCATTTCAGAGATGAGAATTCAGAGTCTTTTCAATGGGTTCAACTCATTAGTTCTATTTAAGATGGCATATGGTACCAGCTCAATAATATCTAAGGGGATACTGTGATGAGCTTTCTTGTATTCTAAAAATTGCCTAAGTGCTGTGAATGAGCAATGCTTTGTGTGCACAGGGAAATAAGATTGATGTAAAAATCTCTACTTCAATTGTTTGAGTGGCTGTTCTTACACTGTTAACATGTGAGTGCATTGCTATTATTGGTACTGGTCAACAGAGATGAAGACAGCCTTGCTGAACAGTTAAATTACATTACTTTGTAAACAAATAGGATCCTGATTAGCTTTCTGAAACTGGTCTCTCATTTTGGTGTCAGCATATATAATTTGGGCTCAGGGGCAAGCCCGTCACAAAGTCACAATTCTTGTCACACTTTGTAAAGGCAAAAGCTTCACTTTACTAGAACACAGCTGCTACTGTGTGTTTGCCACTGTGTTCCTGAACTTAGCTCTCTGGACAGGAAACTGCTGTGCCACAGTTCACCTCCCAATTCTAGTGTCTTAGAGGTCTGCAGAGAAGGAGGAAGACAAAGAACATGGTGTTTTGTGGATAACATCAGATGCATTTTTCAACAGCATTCTTTCACCGTTTACCAATCAGCCTTCTGTGCTTTTCAAAATAAATACAATAAAATCGTGTTTCATTAGTTCCAGTTTTCTTCTTCTATTTTTTTTTTAAGACCAACTCTGACTCTGTTGCCCTAGCTGGCCTAGAACCCTCTCTATAGACCAGTTTGGCCTAAAATTCACAGAAATTCACCTGCCTCTCTCTGCCTCCCCCAGTACTGCAATTGAAGATATGTACCACATCTGGCCTTCACCTTGAATTCTAACATAATATGCATTTTTGTTGTTGTTTTGTGCTGTGAAACAATGTTCCAAATATGAACTATTCAGGCTAGCCATAACAAATATCCTAATTAAAATTGGTTAAAATAAGTAATAGTAACAATAATCATAACCCCACAGAACGTGGCTGGTTTGATATCCCAGCTTAGGATACAGAAACAAGTTTAAAGTTACATTCACTGGATTTCTTATTTTAAGCAATATCTAGGCTATGAAGACAAAATATACAACAGAATATATTAAATGATACATATAAAAAACAGTGCTTTTAAAATTTTCAGGTACCATTATTCAGTTGATTTTCTTCAAACGCATCTTACCATGTTAAAATATTACATATGTGCCGGGTGGTGGTGGCGCACGCCTTTAATCCCAGCACTCGGGAGGCAGAGGCCGGCGGATCTCTGTGAGTTCGAGGCCAGCCTGGGCTACCAAGTGAGTTCCAGGAAAGGCGCAAAGCTACACAGAGAAACCCTGTCTCGAAAAACCAAAAAAAAAAAAAAAAAAAAAAAAAAAAAATATTACATATGTATTTACAATATTTTAGGGATGTTATTATGCAATGTAAGTTTTTTACATAGAATATCAATGAAACTAAACAGCCCCACTTCATATTTTGGAGAGTTAATATTTACTCATTTGGGAACATTTATTAATCCTATAGTAAATCTCAGGGATAGTTCAAGGCACTGTGAATTTTTGGAGAAAGTCAGGATTAGAAAATTGAGAAGGTAAAATATGACTTTGACTTTCAAGGACTCTCAATGAATTCACCAAATAAAAAAGTAGAGAAAGGTCTCCTTTTCAGAATGACAGCATGAGCAAGGACACAGAGGTTTGAAGGAGCACAGAACATTCAACAACATAAAGTAGGTCACTATGGCTACTTGATGGGGAAGAGTAGAAAGAAATGAAGCCACAGAGTGCCCTGTATGCAATCCTAAACATTTTGGAACTCATTCTAGAGAAAAAGGAAAGGGGGGAGGAGCAAGGGGTGTCACATGAGAGATGCATCCACAAAAAGGACAGCAGGGGTAAGATCTGTAAATAATATTGATGAGAGATGGCTAGAGGAGAGACAAGAAGAGTGAATTTGGGATAGTACATGGGAAAGAGAAGTGCTACCAGAAATGTAGACACAGATTATAAATAATCTCACTACGGAGAAGCTACAAAATATAGCTAAGTTGCCTTTTTTCTTGCATATTTGTATTTATTATCCAGCTCTATGAGGAGATCTTATAACTTGTCTTGATCAGGTGGCCCTTATTTGTTCTGTAATATAATATATTATTCATGATGAATAATATTGATCTGCTATCTTAGAGAACTGGCACGCTTATCACTCTTTGTGTTCTCTTACAAAGCATAGTGAAGTCATTATACATTCATTAATAAGCAAATTCCACACCACTTAAAAACCACCCTTTCCTGAGGCATTGGCTCATTTCATGCCAGTGCCACAACTGAGCTCAGCTATTCTCTAAACAGAGTGCATGAGAAGCACAAGAATCCCAGACTGGGCAGCCAGGAATCGTGGTGCATGCCTGTAACACCAGCATGACTACATAGTGATAATCTGGCCTCAGAGAGAGAGGGAGAGATAGAGAGAGAAGAGCTATTAAATTTGTGTAGCCCTCAGTTGTTACATGTCCTGTCTTTATTTTCAGTAGCTTATTTCAGAAATAATGATATCATTTTGCTCATTTTAATTTTTAAAATTGGAGGAAAGGGAAAAAAAATGAGACCATCGAAGTAACTATTCCATGGTTTGGTTATAAGTTATTTGTTCTGAGTGCAGTTCATGACTATTCAATTATGTCAAATATTTTCATCCTTTACTGTGTTCAGAACAAAATTTTTACCAACCAAGCAACCAAGAAATGTAGGATAAAATTGGACAGAGATATAATATGAAATATGAAAATGCTTAAATTTTTAAAATATTGACAAAACCAAGAAATGCTTTATAAAAAAGAGATGAAATTTCATAAGAAAAATATATAAAATATAATAATTCAAAAACAAATGGAAAATACAAAGTAGAAGAAGATAAGCACCAACAAGATTCTTTACAAATAGAGAGTTTTAATGGATTTTAAGTTAAAATATAAGTCATTAGTGTAATGTTACAAAAGAGAAAACTAATATTGATATGCAACTCACAGAGCAGGGATATGCTAGTTGTTGGGACTCAGCACCTAGAAACAGAAATCTGTTGTGCATAAGTTCCATCTAAAGTATTAATTCAACTTTAAGTCCACATTTGAAGGAAATGATTGAAAATTATAATGCACTACTCCAAGGGGTCTTAACTGCCAGCTCCTGAATAATGACAGAAGACTTACTATTAAGTATGAAAGTTTGACTTTAGCTTAGACTTTTTCCCAACTAGCTCTTAAAATTTAAATTAGTCCATTTATATTAATCTATGTCCTGCCATGTGGCACATTACCTCTCCTCAGTAACATTGTCCTACTTCCTCAGTGTCTGGCTGGCAAATCCCCCTCTCAGATTCTTCCCCCATGTTCCTTTCTCTCCCCAGAAGGAAGACCTGCCTATCCTTTCCTGCCTAGCTATTGGCCATTCAGCTCTTTATTAAACCAATCGGAAGGTACCTTAGGTAGGTGAGGAAAGACAGACACATCTTCACACAGTGTGATCCAATACCCTACAGCACACTACTTCATTTTATTATAAAAGATCTTATTCAATTCTCATATCTAATTAACTAACAATTTTGCTAATATGGTCATTTACTATTAACTACTGTATCTTAACACTAAACTGAGCATTTAAGGTGATGACTCTTCACTGGGGGCAATTTTGCCCCAACTGACTTTTGGCAAGGTTTAGAGACACTTTTGGCTATTCCAAGTGTGATTGCAATCTAGTAGGCAGAGGTGTGGGGATGTCACTAACCTCCTGTAATTTGCAGGACACAAGCAAAGGGCACATAGTGATCATGCTGAGAAACCTTGGTGTAAGGCTGTAAGGATAAATAAGATTTGTAGTATGCCTGGCCTCGTGTAGTTTACAACTGCATAGACTTACAGCTCACACACACACACACACACACACACACACACACACACACAGTAGGGAGTCTGGAGTATTAAAGAGTCCAGGCTAAGCTAAACTTCAAAGGTGCAAGTTCTCTTTAGTCTGTCTATATGACTCTTAGTGGGTCTTTGTCCTTTTTTATTTATAATACTGGAGCTGGAAGACAAGTGTAATACAAATTTTAAAAAGTCTTATTAATAGAAAACACTCGGGAGCCAGATATTGGGGTGAATTCTGAAAGGTCAGAGAAGCAGAACAAGCCACAGCCAACCTCACCTCAACAGCTCCTCATCCTATCCTGTTTCCACAAATCCTCATCCTGAAAGCTTCTGAGTCCTCACTGGAATGGATCTCAACTGAACTGCTGCTAAAAGCCTCAAAGCTTAAAAGCCTCTAGTTCCTGGTCCTCATGCCTTATATGCTTTTCTGTTTCCTGATATCACTTCCTCAGATTAAACGTGTGTGTCACCTTGCCTGGCTGTTTCCAATGTTGCCTTGAACTCACAGCGATCCTAATGAATCTCTGCCTCCCAAGTGACAGGATTAAAGGTGTGTGTGCCGCCATTTTCTGGCCTCAACGTCTATCTAGTGGCTGTTCTGTTCTCTGACCCCAGATAAGTTTATTATGGCGCACAATGTATTTGGGGATACAATATCACCACAAATAGGTCCTTTATCTTTAACCTCATATATATCCCATGTCTAAATGTTCCATTTTATTCAAAAATGTGTATCATTCCCAAAATCTAATTACATTGCATTAGAAATGTATCACACGTCAAAGGAATAAAAACAATTGAGGTATTTGTTTAGTTGTTTGGGAGTTTTGCTATTATCCTGAATAAAATCAGAATTTAAATACTTAGGGCTTTAAGGAAAACAAACTTTGGAAGTGTGGCATGCAAATGTACTGCTGTAACAAATGCAAGCAAGCAGCTACAATTGTGGCAGTATGAAGAAAACCAACACTTGCTTCTGCTTAAAGCCCTGACGAAGGGCTGTGTTCTGTAGATGTGGTTAGAGAAGACTGTGTGGAGAGTCAACTCTCCAGGACACAGAAGCCTCGGGAAGTGTTCCAGAGTAGTGAGCTAGGCAAAAAGAAACACATACAAGGTGATCCTCCTGGTGGGCATGAAGTTTTAAAAGCTGTTTCGTTGGAGATGATTGACTCACAAAGCTTTGCACATATCTAACTTGAATTTGGAGACGACTCTACCAATGAGAGAACCACCACAGCCTGCACAGCAGCCGAGCATTCCCTTTCTCCCTGTTCATTTAGCTTTTCCGCCTTAGCAGATTTTTTTTTAAAGTCTGAAGTGCAGTCACTACCCTCAGGCACTATACTCCGTGCTCAATCTCTACGATTTATTCATCTTGCAAAAAAAATTGTGAACTTTAACTTCCGTGTTTTCTGCTCCCCATGTCCCCTGGAGATCTCAATTCCTAGGATTCAATTCCTAGTCCTTAGGAGTCTGAGCTCTTTTCAAGTCCATGCATCAGTAAAATCAGTACTTTTCTTTCTGAATCTAAATTACCTCACTAGGTGGGATGTTTCAAATTCATCCACATAACAAATGGCAAAGGCTTCCTTCCTTTTAAAGGCTAAATAATATTTCATTGTAAGCATACACATTTTTATCTAATCGTCTGTCATTGGG